TTATTCATCGACCATAAATGATTATAATTATATCCACCATCATCTTCTTCCATAATTCCTTTCCACCACTGCCGGTGTTTGCGTGTAGATCTTGTGTGTGTGTGTGTGTGTGTTTTGGTGAAATTTTCAAATTCTCATTCATAACCAATGAATATATACCTGACATCTGCCATTATCGTGTTGTGTTTGTTTGTGGATGGTCGATGATGATAATCGATTTTAAGTGAGTTTTTTTTTAATTTCCACATTTGTTGGTTACCATGGTGTTACTTTTTTTTTGTTGGTGTTTTTTTTTCCTATTTCTTATATCTCATTGTCTCATCTTGATGATAAATACCCTATAGAGAACTGAAAATCATTTGCATAAATTCGATTGACTTGAATAGAAAAAAAACAAAAGTTTTTTTTTGAAACTTGAACAGCAGCAGCAGCAGCCATTTTCTCTTGTTCTAAACACTATTGAATCATGACTAAAAAAAATCATTGAATCGTAATGTTGTTAACTATCGGATAGTGTATCTTATACTAAAAAAAAAAAAAAATTCTTCGCTTGACAACCCAAGCCATATTTGACTGATTTTTGATGATTGTGAATGAATGAGAATAATAATAATAAAAAAACCTCCTCTCATCCACCTTCTATCATATCCTAAAGTCAATGATATAATGGTTGAGATGCTGCTTTGATCGGTTGGTCGTTGTTATTATTATTGTTGTTGTCATCAACCAATAATTCTAGCTGTCATTTCTGGTTACATTCTATCTTTCTATATATATATATGTGTGTGTGTATGTTGTTGATATTGGTGTTTTTTTTCATCGAATGACAACATCCAAAAGTAAATGTGTTTGGAACCTTTTTTTTATTTTTTATTTTAGATTATTTTCTGTTTTCATCACCATTTGTAATGGCCAAAATTCTGCAACTGTCAGCAAAAAAAAATGTTTTAGTATTATTTGTGTATTTAGTATAATGTAATGTAATAGTGTCCACCAATATCAGTTGATTATATTTGTGCAACTCCACACACACACACACACATCTATGGTTACTATATTAAATCCGATTGGAATTTGTTGTTTGTATATTTGGACATTTCTTTTTCTTTTTTTCTTGCTTGGTTGTCATCATCATCATTATCATCATCATCATATCGTTGTTGTACGATAATAATATTCGTCTTTCATATTCGAAATTGATTTTGAATCACTTTATTTCATTTTCTGTTTGACATCCATAAAATGTATATCAATGTCCATTCTATGTTTTGTATGAATAGAAAGAGGGGAGGAAGAAATGAACAATTTTCAATTGTCATCGACTTTTAGCCAACAACGTGGCCAAATAATAACAACGACAACAATAACAAATGTCTCCATTTTGAATCAATTTCAATAATAGGCCAATAATATTGAAACAAGATGAAAAAAAACCTTTCAATCTTGATCCATTGATTTATATCGGATCTATATCTTGTCTTTATGTCTAAGTGTATTGTACATTGTTGCTGGCTACATCGTGTAATATTACACAATATGACCGATATTTATGATGATGAAATAGACCGATAAATGAAATTAAATGATAAATAGTTTTCAAATGGAATAAAAAATGATTGACGATTAATTTTTTTTCTTTTTAGTTATATCGATCTATCGAGCTTGTCCTATCAGGTCCTAAATTCAAATGACAAGTAGTTATTTGGTTATTTCCTGGTCATGATTAATTTTTCATTTTCACATGTGAATCGAATCAATTCTTTTTTTGTAAAGATTTCTACATTTTATACGATTTGTTCTTATGCTTTTTTTTACCGTGCCAAAAATTTCAACATTGATGATGATGGTTATAATTTGTATATTTTTTTTTGTTCAAATCTTATTGACTAATAGTCTGGACTAGAGAGCTATGTGCAACGGACATGTTGTAGTTGTAGTTGAAGATGTTGAATGAATAAACTAACTGATTATTGTTGTATATTTGGTGTTTGCTTCAGATTTTTTTTTTATTTTGAAACAAAAAACAATTATCCTCATCATCAACATAGTATTCATACAAGCAAAAAAAAAAAAAACGATTCATTCATTTTGGTGCCATTGTGAAATTTTTTTTTTTCATTCAATCTCGTTTTTATCCGACAAAGACAATAGCAAAGACACTGATGATGATGATGATCATCGTAACATTAGTGTAATATAAGAAATGAGCAATTAAAACAAATGGAAAACCATCTATCTGTCGACCATAGACAATCGTCACCATGGTTTGCATCTTTGTCTGTTGCATATTCTTTTTTTTTAAGATGATTATGATTATCATTGATGATGATGATGATGATAATGATAATGATTGCAATGTCGTTGTTATGTTTTAGCTGCACGAACGGATTTTGGTTTAATTTTCGATTTTTTTTTTTTTTTTTGAAAAACATTGACGCAATTTGCAAATAGGAAAAAGTCGTCAAAGCAATGATAATACCACTTGTTTGGTTTTCGTTGCAGCAATAGTACAAATGAAATACCCACTGATTATCCATATGGTCATATATATACTATTTTATTTTATTTTAAAGATGGCTTTATCATTCACATTCATTCGAATCTGGTTTTGCATGGATGAATTTTTCAATATGGAAATGAACACATATGTGTTTGTCATTTTTGTCAACGGATTTTACGGTCAACATGTTTAATCACTTTCACTTATGGTTTTATTTCTGGATTTATATATTGAAATGTCCAATGCAAAAAAAAAGACCATATGTGTGATATTTTTTTTTTTAATATTTTGTCCACGGATTTGAATACAATTTTGTTTTTGTTTTTTGCCAAACCTATCGTTTATGTGACAACTGGTAATCTTTTTTACTCTATGAAGATATTTATAGACTGTCTAACACTAGAATTCATATGTCCACTTGTTGTTATTCGTCGTCAAACACACACTGGCCGATTATTTCTTCTTTGGAATGTGTGTGTGTGTGTGTGTGTATCTGGTTTTTTCATTCAAAATTATTTTCCATTTTTATATCTGCATCTGAAAAAAAATTCACATTTACATAATATATCATTGTCAGACAGAGAGACACTTTGGTCGAACTCTTTTTCAGTGAATAAAAAGAAACAATACCCAAACAGGCAGGAAGACAATTATTATGCTAGCAATATGCTTTTGTAGACAACAACGATGACGCGATGAATTTAATGAGATAATATTATATAAAAAGGCAACCCATAATAAGATGATGTGATTGTCATAGTTTTTGTTTTTTCGTAGTTTGAACGAACACAAGTAGGTAATTTATTTAACTTGATGACACAACAACAGGTTGTGTTTGTGTGTGCTCCTTTCATATATATACCAACGAGAAATGGAAAAAAATGAAGGAAAAAAATGTCACCCAAAAAAATGCATGAATTGACACAAAATGCAGTTATGTTCGCTAAATAAATGGTTCTTATCATGGCCATCTTGACCACAATTTATTTTTTTTATTCCCATTGTTTTATGTTTTGCATATGTGTATGTGTTGAATTTCAATTTCAAAATGCATAAAACACATACTATGATTATATATTATGGAACGCCTTCATTTATAAAAAAAGTGTTAACTTGTGGTCAATATTATTTTTTCTAGCTTAATCAATCGATCAACTGACCAACGCCCGCCAGCCAGCCGATTATATTGATAATCATACATAACACATTTACTTTATTATCGATTCAATTCATTCTGATCGCGATCGATTGATGGATAAGTCACCAATTTTATTATTGGCCACTATTATTATCACCAAGATTGAGAAAGAAAGAGATGTGTGTGTGTGATTAAAAAAAATTCGAATAATTTGATTCTCATCATCGATTTATCGATCGATTAGTGATTGAAGATTTATAAAAAAAAAACTATAATCATATGAGTATGTTTGACGACGATATTTATGAGATTATAAAAATGATGATGATTAAGATTACAACAATATTATAATGTTACACTTGATCAATCAAGTTAAAACTATAGACTGATAAAATAATTTTCAACTCAAACTGATCTTTTAGTATATTGGTCTGATTGTAATTTCCAATACCGCAATTACATAACTCGATTTGATAGAGAAAAAAAACCAATTATCATTGCAAAATTTTTCTCCATTTAAATTGTAGCTTTTCAAAAATTGAAGAATTTTTATTTTTATTTTATTTGATTCACACAGACACGCTTAATTCTCTTCTCTGTTATCACTTGCGATTTTTTTACGTTGTTGTTGTTGTTGTTGTTGTTTTTTGATTGACCTGAAAGTTTTTCAATTGTTTCAATTTGTTTTGATTCGATTTTTTTTTTTTCATTCGTTTGTTTATCTTAGCTATGTGTGTGTGTCTGTGTGTAGTTCGTTTTCAATTATTATTATTATCTGAAAATGTTCATTTTTAATTTAATTCATTTCATTTCTTTTTTGTTTTGTTTGTTTCCATCATTAGGCATCCTTGCATTTTCGTCTAATTTTTAATTGTACTCATCATCAACATCATCATCATCAAAAAAAATTATCGTATTCATTCGTAATCATCATAACCAAACCTCGAAAGGTTCCCAAGAAAAGCGGCCTCGTTTTGTTGTTGTTTTTTTTTCATTTCTATATCATCTTCAGGTGTCACCATTCTCATCATCATCATCAACATCATCAACAAACAAAGTATAGAGAAAATATGCAAAAAAAAACTTGGCCATCATATATACAAATGGCCATTTTTTTCCTGGCCTTTTTTTCAGTTCAACCGAATGCAAAAACAAAACAATTCATTTTAGATTTGATGTCAAATGATGTGATGTGATGTGAAGTGATTATTATTATTATTATTATTTTTCATCATTGATTTGGTTGTGATTATCCGGTTCCTGTGGACTGGATTTGTTTTGTGCATATGTTCTCTGTCTCTGTGTATGGGTGTTTTGTTTTTTTTTTTTTTGAATTTATTTTAATTTTCATCAGTTAATTTTTTTTAGACAGAAAAAGAACATTACCATCATTTTAATTTAATTTTTTATTTTTTTTCGCCATTTCTTCATCCTACTCTGTTACCTTATACATAAAACCCGAAAAAAAATCAGTATCAGGTCACAAACCAGTGTGTTAAGTGAATCTAAATATATTAATAATAATCTTAAAACAAACCACCAAACTCCTACACACATAACAATTTTTATTTTTTTTTCAGAAAAAAATAACATAAAAAAAGATATTCAATCAAACCACACACACACACACACATCAAGTATCAAAATACAACATAGATAAGAAGGAGAGAGAGCGAGAATCTCTCCATAGTGTGAGAGTGATAGAAATCGCTGTGAAATTCTCTTATCAACCGAGATTCACATTTCGACAGAAAATCAAATGATCGTGTGATATTATCATGGTCAACAACTGCAACAACAACAACAACAACAACATCATCATCAACTGTCATCACGCCATGATCATCATCAGGCAACAACAACAACAACAACAACGATCAGTAGCAACTAAAATGATGATGCTGCTGTCGTTGTCTCGGAATAAAAATACCATGATTGGTTATCATCATAGATCACATTATAAATCCATCAGATCAGTAATGCCATACAGTGGTCATCTACTTATTTCTATGATTTTATTCTGCCTTTTCATACGAACTATTTATACTGATTCAGGTACGTGTATAATTACTTATATTTTTTCTCCATATGATAAAATCTATTGTATAAAAGTAGAGAGAGAGAGAGAGAGATATTTTTTCAAGTGGTCTTTTCAATTTTCATTCTATATATGCTCATTGTGTTTTACTATTGTTTTACTTTTATTCTCATGATGATGATCTTGAATTTTTTTTTCATGTGCATATATGATGATGTTAGATTGTTGTACGGTTGGTATTCGTCGGAACCAAAACAACATTATCAGTGAAAACATTTTTTTTTCAAATGATGCAAATGGTACATACACTCGCCCAATATGGATTGTTGTTGTTGTGATTGCCATTGTTGCTGGTTTTCACATTAGATCAAATCATGATTCTAAGACAAGTTATCATTGGCCTCCCGTTGCGTGTGTGTGTGTGTATGATGTGTATAAGTGTCTGAATTAAATTTCCAAGTAAAATTTTTCAATACACTCAGACCGGGAGAAGGGAAAAAACTTTGAAATGCTAAACATGTAGAATTTCATGTAAGGAAAAAATCAAATCAAAATATGAATGAAATAAATGTTGCAAACCAACCATGAGAGTCTATTGTTTGATGTTTGTGGGTATATATCGGTTTGCCATAGTCATTGGTTGATTCTTTGGGTTTGTTGCCCTTATGATTCAAATGATAAAAAAAATCAAAAATTATCAACAAGCTTGGAAGTTATTTTTTTCCAAAAAAAACCTTCAAAATAGTGATACAGTTTTGGCTACAAACATTGATGATGACGATGAAAATGATTAGATTTTGTCTTTAAGATTCAATTTTTGAATTTCAATTCTTTCATTCGTTCATTTAGTCGACTTTTTCTCCTTATGTATGTCTGTCGATGCATGCAAACCGAATCCGAATATCTCATCTATTTCTTGAGTTGAATTCATTTGTTGTTGTTTACGACATGAAATTTTTTTTTATCAGACTTACTCTCTGATGACTTGAATTTTATATTTTGTGAATTTGTCAAGATGCAAGACTTTTACCTTTTTTTTTGCTTTTCAAGCTTTTTGACCATTCAACCATTGGAATCAATTGTATGGTTGAACCTGTTGTTAGTTTTCTGTATTGTATCCGTTTGTGTTTGTTCATTCGAGAACCTATTGTCATCAACATTTTATAGTGATGATCATCATCATGACCATGGTCATGGTTGGTTCGTTTCCACATTTGTCGATGGTAGGTCTGTTGGTTGGTTGGTTGTTCGAAACATTTGACTTGTATTTATACAATGATTTGTTCTTATGCTTGTAAAAAAAAAGTTACCGAAGTTTGGCCGCCAACTGAAGTGGTCTGAATTTCATTCGATCATTGATGACACACACACGCACACAAAACAGACTATATGTGGACACACCTGGTCCACATTTTTCCAAAAAAATTCTCATTGCAATTCTGTATGTTGAAAATAGATTGCTTCAATATTAATCCTCATCATAAATGTATATTATATGCATAAATTGAATATAAAATTGCCTAAAGTCGTTTGATTCAATAGAAGAATATCATATATTTGTATATGAATTATTGAATATATTTTGTGTTTCATGCATACGGATGATAACGGATAAATTTCAATGAATATCTAAATATATTAAAATGCAATATATATCTATCTAGTAGTTTTGTTTCTAGGTTTTTTTTATCATGTTTGTTTTGTGTCATTATAATACCCAAATGATGATGATCATTATCATTATACTCGAAGGCTTCTTTTCTTTATTTTTATTTCCTATCATCATTTCATTAATGTTGTTACTACATTCCAAGAATATTTGGACTTTCTTTTCCATTCAAATAAATTACTAAGAGAGAGACAACAAAAGAAATAGAATATAATATAAAAGAGTGAATGAGAATCCATTTGGCATAATCTTCTTTGTTTATGTAACCAAATAATATTTTAGGGACAAAATACAAAAAACAAATATGGAAAAAAAATTTTCTCTCATCTGATAACCTCAATCTTTTTTTTTGCTATTATGTATCAACAATTGTGATCGATATAAATTTGATTGAGATATTCTAATCACTACCATCATGATCATCATCATTATTATTGATAGTCCCTATTTTATTATTAAAATTTAGATAGATCTTTTTCTTTTTTTTTTTACGTAAAAATAACTTAATTGACCGAGAAATTGATATATTTGAATGGATTTTAATCCAAATTTTTTTGTATAAAATATATTCAATTTACTTACTTTATATTTCAAATGAATGTGTTTTATTTATTCATTCATTCACTTAAAACAATTACCCAAATCTATCTATCTAAATCTTGATCTTTTTTCTTTTTGTTTCCTGTAAAAAAAAAATTATATGGATTTTCTCGCACACAGTTTGAATTTTTCTTTTTTTTTCCACTGTGATTCACTTCTCGTTTGCTATGATGATGTGCGTGTGTGTATTACAAACTTATTTATCCGATTAATTTTCTTCGAATTCAAATGAAATGAATGAATATTCATCATTCATTCATTGCTATGTACGGCAACAAAAAAAAACAGATGACTGCCGTTTGATCGATGAGTTTCTAACGAAACATTGCGACCGACCGGCGTCTGTTATGTTTTGATCATCATCCTCCAACACACAAACACACCCAGAAATAAATTTTAAAATTTTTTTTGCCCAACAAAGAAAATTTTCCCTTAAAATTTTGTCGCATTCAAATTGAATTCAAGGTTTTTTGTTTCATTTTTTTTGTTGTTACTTTGAAAATATAATGATTCTAAATGATGATCATTTGATGAAGATGAGTGATGGAAGGATGATGATAATGATGGTCATCATCATCATCATCATCTTTATCATAATCAAATTTAATTGTCTGAGATTTTTCATTTTTCCAAAATCTTATTGTGTCCCTGTTTATTTTTTTTTCATATGAGCATTGTTTGTTTATTTATTTGTTTATCTTTCGTTTCGTGTGGCCAATAAAATGGAGAAAAAAAATGAAAATTTGAACTAGATCTCATGATCAAAAGATTCTTTTTTGTTGTTGTTGCTGATGGACGAACTGAATGATTGAATGAGATATATACACACACCTGTGTCCATAATAGTCAGTCCGGTTTCAGCATTCATTATTATTTGATGAAATTTTTTTTTTTTTATTTTGCCGGCAAAATTGTCATCAAATCGGACATTTCTCTCTCTCTCTCTTTATGTGGACACAAAAAATCACAATCATGCTTCAAATGAAAAGTTTGATCATTTCATTTTTTTTTTTTTGCCAATGAGAAAATAATGAAAGATTATATATATGCATCGGATATTGAAATGAATTGAAAATTGTGTTCGATTGTTATTTATTTATTATTGCACATTTTAAACGTATGAAATGAGATGGAAATTTATTTCACTTTCTTTTCTGGAATTTCTCGTTGCCAGTCTGCCGGTTCTTGATATAATTTTCTATTTGATTTTTCTCAATTTCTTCATATGAAAATGTTTGAATGTATGCTGCACGGCAAAATGCTGTCCTCTTTTTACTTATTTGGGCTTTGTGAATTTGAATATTATTGAAATCATAGATTAAATATCGATTAGATAGATTTTTTGGTTTTCTCTTTTCCAAGTTCTTTGTTTTAGATTGCAGTTGTGACAAAAACTTTTTCCAATGGATAAGAAAAAGGAAACTACTACTACTATTATTCATTTCAAGTTGTGACTAAAATGGGTAAAACTAAAAACAATAAAATGATAGGAGAATTCAGGAATCGGTAATAATTGCCACTAACGAAAAGAAAAAAATTTCCTTTACTTGGGTGTTTTATCTTTTGACCAAATGTGAAAAGTGTTTGCTGCGTATGTGTTTGTCGTCGTCGTCGTCGTATGTGACTCTGCATCTAAATGGTCTACTTTGATCTACATTTTGGTTGTTGGATTTTTTTTTTCATTCATTTCATTTCGTTCGTTTGATCCAGAATGGCCTGATTTTTTTCTCGATTCAAGAACAGTTAATTTATTTTTATTATATCAACTTTGCATACACATATATAGAGTATAATGTTCTTTTTTTTGTGTGCTATTTGCTATCGTGTTTTTTTTTTTTTTTTTGATTGTTGTTGTTTGTGTGTGTGTGTTTGGTACGACCATTTTTATGGGACTTTTTTTTCGAAACCGTTTTTTTGTTTTGTTTTACCATTGTATTTTGTATTGTAATATTCGAATTGAAAGTTATAGTCATCGACACAACACATAAATGCATAACCGAATTTATCAAATGGCCATCTATATATATTGGCTGCCAAGCTTCTGTTTGTGTGTGTGTGTGTGTGTGTGTGTGTGTGTTTGTTTGTTGAACTAGCCGACGATCTGGCCAGGTTTCCATGTATAAATATGATGATGATGATGATGATAGTAAAAAATTATGCTAATATATTCCATCCATTGATGATGATGATGATGATGATAATGATAACAAACATTAAACATTATCGAAATCATCCTCCTTATTATTAAATTGACAAGAAATGATGAACACTAAAACACACGGCAATTTCACGCCATTCGTTATCGAATCATGTATTGGTTATGGTTAAATTAGTTACAACATTTGTAAATCGTATCATCCGATCAATCGATTGATCGATTTTCTCTTTTCTCCCCTTTTTTTAAAGATTAATTAGCTATAATTGTCCGTTTGTATTGACCGATGTTTTGATTTGTTTCCTATCGTTTCACCAATCACACATTAAATGATGATCATTTATTACAAATGTATTTTATTTGTATCAATTCAAACACAGACATACGAAAAAAAAACTCGAATCATCATCTTTATTTACATTTGATGTTTGTTTGTATAGTTGGATAGTTGAGCGGGCGTCACGACAATCGGAGAATGAATTTTTTATTTTTATTTCATCTAGCTTCTGTATTACAACACGACCTTTGTTCAATCATCATCATCATTATTATCGTTCTTATTGTTTAATCAAAACTGATGATTGTTCGGTTAT